ATATTTTACAGTTTTTTTCCTGTAATTGATATCTAGTCTCATAGCGTTGTGGTTGGAAAAGATACTTGATATGACTTCAATTTTCTTAAATTTACCAAGGCTTGATTTGTGGCCCAGGATATGATCTGTGTTGGAGAATGTCCCATGTGCACTTGAGAAGAAAGTGTATTCTGTTGTTTTTGGATGGAATGTTGTATAAATATCAGTTAAGTCCATCTTGTTTAATGTATCATTTAATGTTTGTGTTTCCTTATTTACTTCCATTTTGGATGATCTTTCCATTGGTGAAAGTGGGGTGTTAAAGTCCCCTACTATGATTGTGTTACTGTCGATTTCCCCTGTTATGGCTGTTAGTATTTGCCTTATGTATTGAGGTGCTCCTATGTTGGGTGCATAAATATTTACAATTATTATATCTTCTTCTTGGATTGAACTATTGATCATTATGTAGTGTCCTTCTTTGTCTCTTGTAATAGTCTTTATTTTAAAGTCTACTTTGTCTGATATGAGAATTGCTAATTCAGCTTTCTTTTGATTTCCATTTGCATGGAATATCTTTTCCCATCCCCTCACTTTCAGTCTGTATATGTCCTTGTAGACAGCATATATACAGGTCTTGTTTCTGTATCCATTCAACCAGTCTATGTCTTTTGGTTGGAGCATTTAATCCTTTTACATTTAAGGTAATTATCAATATGTATGTTCTTATTACCATTTTCTTAATTGTTTTGGGTTTGTTATTGTAGGTCTTTTCCTTCTTTTGTGTTTCCTGCCTAGAGAAGTTCCTTTAGCATTTGTTGTAAAGCTGGTTTGGTGGTGCTGAATTCTCTTAGCTTTTGCTTGTCTGTAACGGTTTTAATTTCTCTGTCAAATCTGAATGAGATCCTTGCTGGGTAGAGTAATCTTGGTTGTAGGTTTTCCCCTTTCATCCCTTTCAATATGTCCTTCCACTCCTTTCTGGCTTGCAGAGTTTCTGCTGAAAGTTCAGCTGTTAACCTTATGGGGATTCCCTTGTATGTTATTTGTTGCTTTTCCCTTGCTGCTTTCAATATTTTTTCTTTTTATTTAATTTTTGATAGTTTGATTAATATATGTCTTGGTGTGTTTCTCCTTGGATTTATCCTGTATGGGACTCTTTGTGCTTCTTGGACTTGATTGACTCTTTCCTTTCCCATAATAGGGAAGTTTTCAACTATAATCTCTTCAAATATTTTCTCAGTCCCTTTCTTTTCCTCTTCTTCTTCTGGGACCCCTAGAGTTCGAATCTTGGTGTGTTTAGTGTTGTCCCAGAGGTCTCTAAGACTGTCTTCAATTCTTTTTTTCTTTATTCTGCTCTGCAGTAGTTATTTCCACTATTTTATCTTCCAGGTCACTTATCCATTCTTCTGCCTCAGTTATTTTGCTATTAATTTACTTCTAGGGAATTTTTATTTTCATTTATTATGCTGTTCATCACTGTTTGTTTGCGCTTTAGTTCTTCTAGGTCCTTGTTAAACGTTTCTTGTATTTTCTCCATTCTATTTCTAAGATTTTGGATCATCTTTACTATCATTACTCTGAGTTCTTTTTCAGGTAGAGTGCCTATTTCCTCTTCATTTGTTGGGTCTGGTGGGCCTTTACTTTGCTCCTTTATCTGCTGTGCATTTCTCTGTCTTCTTATTTTGCTTTTCTTACTGTGTTTGGGGACTCCTTTTCACAGACTGCAGGTTCATAGTTCCTGTTGTTTTTGGGGTCTACCCCCAGTGGGTGTGGTTGGTTTATGGGTTGTGTAGGCTTCCTGGTGGAGGCAACAGGTTCTTGTGTTCTGTTGGATAAAGCTGGATCTTGTCTTTCTGGTGGGCAGGACCGCATTGTGTTTTGGGGTGTCTGTGAACTTAGTATGATTTTAGGCAACCTGTCCACTAATGGGTGGGGTTGTGTTTCTGTCTTCCTAGTTGTTTGCCATGGAGTGTCCAGCATTGGAGCGTGCTGGTTGTTGAGTGGAGCTGGGTCTTAGCATTGAGACGAAGATATCTGGGAGAACTCTCGCCAATTTATATTACATGGGACCGGGAGGTCTCTGGTGGTCTAATGTCCTGAACTTGGTTCTCTCACCTCAGAGGCTTGGGCGTGACACCTGGCCAGAACACCAAGACCCTGTCAGCCACATGGCTTAGAAGAAAAGGGAAAAAAAAAAGGAAAGAAAGGAAAAAAATAGAATAAAAAAATAAAGTTATTAAAATTAAAAAATATTATTAAAATAAAAAACTTTAAAAAGTAATTATATAAAAAAAGAAGAGAGCAACCAAATCAACAAACAAATCCACCAATGATAACAAGCACTAAAAACTAAACTAAGATAAATATAAAAATTGGAAACTGGTCAGTCGCATATAGGAAGCCCCAAGTTAACAGTTGCTCCCAAAGTCCACCGCCTCAATTTTGGGATGATTTGTTGTCTATTCAGGTATTCCAGAGATGTAGCGTACATCAAGTTAATTGTGGGGATTTAATCCGCAGCTCCTGTGGCTGGATGCAGAAATTTCCCTTTCTCTTCTTTGTTCGCACAGCTCCCGGGGTTCAGTTTTGGATTTGGCCCCGCCTCTGCGTGTAGGTCGCCAGAGGGCGTCTGTTTTTCGCTCAGACAGGATGGGTTAAAGGAGCAGCTGATTCTGGGGCTCTGGCTCACTGAGGCCGGGGAGAGGGAGGGGTACGGGCGCGGGCCGAACCTGCAGCAGCAGAGGCCAGCATGACGTTGCACCAGCCTGAGGTGCGCTGTGCGTTCTCCTGGGGAAGTTGTCCCTGGATCCCGGGACCCTGGCAGTGGCGGGCTGCACAGGCTCCCGGGAGGGGAGGTGTGGAGAGTGACCTGTGCTCGTACACAGGCTTCTTGGTGGCTGCAGCAACAGCATTAGTGTTTCATGCCTGTCTCTGGTTTCTGACCTGATAGCTGCGGCTCATGCCTGTCTCTGAAGCTTGTTTAGGCGGTGCTCTGAATCTCCTCTCCTCACGCACCTGGAAACAATGGTCTCTCTTGCCTCTTAGGTAGGTCCAGACTTTTTCCCAGACTCCCTCCCAGCTAGCTGTGGCACACTAGCCCCCTTCAGGCTGTGTTCACGCCGCCAGTCCTCTCCCTGGGATCCGACCTCCGAAACCCAAGCTTCAGCTCCCAGCCCCGCCCGCCCCGGTGCGTGAGCAGAGAAGCCTCTCGGGCTGGTGAGTGCTGGTCGGCACTGATCCTCTGTGCGGGAATCTCGCCGTTTTGCCCTCCGCACCCCTGTGGCTGTGCTCTCCTCTGCGGCTCCGAAGCCTACCCCCTCTGCCACCTGCAGTCTCCGCCCAGGAAGGGGGTTCTAGTCTGTGGAAACCTTTCCTCCTTCACAGCTCCCTCCCACTGGTGCAGGTCCCGTCCCTATTCTTTTGTCTCTGTTTTTTCTTTTTTTCTTTTGCCCAACCCAGTTATGTGGGAAGTTTCTTGCTTTTATGGGAAGTCTGAGATCTTCTGCCAGCGTTCAGTAGGTGTTCTGTAGGAGTTGTTCCACATATAGATGTATTTCTGATGTATCTCTGGCGATGAAGGTGATCTCCATGTCTTACTCCTCTGCCACCTTGAAGGTCCTCCCGAACATAAAAGTTGAAAAATACTAGCAAGAAAAAATTTCAGCAGCAGAGTTGTGGACAGCCAGATACTTTTGGAGATGGAGCTGACAGGAATCGAGCTCCAAGATTTTCTCAAATGGAGAAAGCAAGCTGAGCTCGCAAGATGGTAGCCGCTGAGCCCGTCCTGGGAGGAGGTTGCCCCTTTTTTTAAAAGCCTTTCAATGCCCCGTTTCTTCTCCAGTTTTAGCCAGATAACTTACTGAGGATTCTCTCAGCATATTTTCACCTTGTGTATGTCTTCAAATTCTCATTAAGAGAAAAACTGGGGGGAAGGAAGTAATTAATCTATTTCAGCATGGATGCACAAGAGGAAGAAGGAATAATAAGAGGAATAAGAGATCTTTCATAGTAGTTTTAAAAGCAGAGAAAATCTTGAGAGTTTTCTCTGCCTCGTTTTATAAATGTGTCATTTAATTGTTTGAAATTGCAAGCTTCTTGAGAGTGAGAACCATCTTTCTTCTTTCATATGTCCTGAATTGCCTAGGCACATGGTAGGTTAATAAAACATTTGGTCAAAGCATTGAATTAAAATAAACCCTTAAATCCTTCTGACAAAAATGTTTGCCAATGGCAGGAAAACTGGAAGACAGAAACAAGCAAGCTTTTGTATCCCCATATATTATATTTGAACTACGTTTGATAGTGAGCTGTATTCTCAACAGCTTCCAGATTTTCACTTTGGTCTCAGATGTCAGAAATTTCAAAAAATGTGTGTAAAAATTCATGAAGCTGTGGGATTGAGTGGAACCATAAGGCCTGAAATAATTCAGAAGATTGTCTAGTTCAGACAGGATAATATCGATGACATTCCTTGGAAAGGGAGAAATATCAATGGGACTGGCATTTCTGGGGAATAAAAGGAGAAAACGAGATTCAGGAGCACAAGTTCACTTGAGAATTTCTAACATAAAGGCATAGTGAGAATGGGATAATGGTTAGTCATTAATATCTATAGATGGTTATTAATGCTGAAGATGGTAATTATTTTTTCAGTGTGGTTTCCTTGAAACAACATACTAGCTGGAATAAAATGATCTAGTTCTTGTTCTGAATCCATTTCTTACTGGATGGCTTCGCTAATTCACAACCTCTCTGAGCTTCAGTTTTCTCACTTGTAATATGGGGATCATAGAATTTTTGTGAGGTAGATTGAATCATAGAGTGGGATACTGAGCACTGAATGAATAAACATTTACTATATTAGCAAACAAATAAATAAATAAACAAACCAGTCAGATATTATGTGTGAAAGAGTTCTATCAACAGGCAAGTGCTAAGTAAACATGAAGGACTGGTGTTATGATTGTGTTTGTTTTGTCACAGGTCTCTTCTCTTAGATCCATCTTCTTTGAGTGGAATCCATGGTGAGTAAAAATAATGTAACCGAGTTCATTTTCACTGGTCTTTTCGAGGATCCAGAGGTGCAGAGAGTGTGCTTTGTGGTGTTTCTTCCCGTGTACTTGGCCACGGTGGTAGGCAACGGCCTCATTGTTCTGACGGTCAAAGCCAGTAAGAGTCTGCATTCCCCCATGTACTTCTTCCTTAGCTACCTGTCCCTGGTGGAAATCAGCTATTCCTCTACTATTGTCCCTAAATTCCTCATGGACTTACTTACCAAGATTAAAACCATCTCACTGGAGGGTTGTCTGGCTCAGATATTCTTCTTTCACTTCTTTGGGGTCACTGAGATCCTCTTGCTTGTGGTGATGGCTTATGACCACTCTGTGGTCATCTGCAAACCCCTTCATTATATTAACATTATGAATCGTCAACTGTGTCATGTATTAGTGGCTGGTTCCTGGCTTGGGGGCTTCTTTCATTCCGTAATTCAGATTCTCATCACCATCCAATTGCCCTTCTGTGGTCCCAATGTGATTGACCACTACTTCTGTGATCTCCAGCCATTATTCAAGATTGCCTGCACTGACACCTCTGTGGAGGGGGTTATTGTGTTGGTCAATAGTGGCTTAATTGCTCTGTGCTCCTTCCTCATCTTGGTGACCTCCTACATTGCCATTCTCGTCAACTTGAGGAACCATTCAGCAGAGGGAAGACGCAAAGCCCTCTCCACCTGTGCTTCTCACATCATGGTGGTCATGTTCTTTTGACCTGCCATCTTCTTCTACATGCGACCCTCCTCCACCTTCACTGAGGAAAAACTGGTGGCTGTGTTCTACACAGTGGTCACCCCCATGCTGAACCCCATCATCTACACAGTCAGAAATGCAGAGGTGAAAATCGCTATGAGGAGGTTGTGGGGCAAAAAGGAGAACTCAGGGGTGGAGTGAAAATGGGAAAGTGATTTAAAAAAGTGTGTCTGATTATTCTCTGTTCTTGAAATGGATTTTAATTTTAGTGGGACATTCAAGAATGGCAGAAACAAATGTAAAGACTTAATGTTACTGCTAATGTGATTCTCCTTAGTAACCAAAGACTCCCCACTAATCCAGTGTAATGATCAAAGGACAGAGATCAGATTGGTTTCATGATATCCAACAATATCATGAGATTAGGAAATATTAAGATTTAAGATAAGTGAAAATGCAAAGGAGAACATTTTGACAAGTGTTTTAGAGGTTAAATCACTTATTCTTATGATCTCCTTCCTTCCCCCTTTTCTTCATCCCTCCCTGCCTCCCTTCTTTCTTTCCTTACTTTTTTTTCCTCCTTCCTTCTTCATGCTCCCCTCTTCGTTCAACCTCCCTAGCAATAACAACCAACATTTCATTAAAAAAGGAAACAAAATCGAGGAATTATCATGGGATATTTGGGGAGGAGGGTAACAATCTGATCTACTCTTTCGACATGGGTAAGTGTGTCTTTGAAAATTGCATCCAGGGATTTTTCTCTTCTTCTGGTTGTTTGGGCTTCTTGTACCATAGACCATCTGATCACAAGTACCAGAAAAGTCCCTGGAGCAATTTCAGTTCTTGTGACATGTTGGCACAAAAGATAGTCCTTAAATCTTCTCTCACAATGTCTACCATCAATAAATTAAAAAAAACAAAAGGTCATAGATTCTAGCTATCAATAGGGAAAGGTCAAGTCAAACATTTTAACAAAGTTTTATCTATAGAAAATAAATATAGAATGTAGGAAATTCTTGTTAGGCGTAACTTGAAGAATGAATGGGTGGTAAGTAATGTCCAAGTATGTTTCCGTGCCATACTCTGTACTTTATTCTAACTGATCAGGCCAGGTCCATTTCTTGTCATGCCTATTAGTGTTTCTTGGTGAAGCAGAATGAGACAGACTGTGTCGACATTATTGTTTCATCTCTCAGAAACTCCTTTCACCCAACTGACTCTTATCATTGTGGACAATTTAGACAATATCATAAAATTTGCCCCTGTTGGCTTTAGGATTACACAGACTGGCTTTGCATTTGCCCTCCATCCTTCCAGCTCTCCTTGAGGATCAGCGGAAATAATGCAGGCAGCTTCCTTGCAGAGCCGTGGAGCATCATAGTATGCTACAGACCGTAAGGGCTTTTCCCTTTCTCCTCAGGTGCTGATTGAGCATGTAGGTGAATAGTGGTTTTAAAGGCACCAGGAAATCTTCCCCACTTCCCTTGTTGTCCCCACTAATCATGGCCATGGATGACCATTAATAATCTCTGAGAAAATGCCACTTCTTTTGTCCGGAATGACTTTACTACCCTTTTCCATATGGCAAACTCCTATGCATCCTTTAAGACCTAGGTTAAAGTCATCTCCCTTATGAGGCCTTCTCTGACCTCCCTCCACCTTGGGCTGAATTTGTGTCTCCTGTCCATGTTTATTTTTACATGCATTTATCATTGCCCTTATGACTTTGATTATATTATTTTATATACTTTTCTCTCTTTTAAACTGTGAGCTCTCAAGGGCAGGGCTACCCACTACCCCTTCTTCTTCTTTGTGGCTCTAAATATTGTGCATGTAATTGGTAGTTTATACGTGCTTGTTGAATATAGAAACTTTTAGACCCACGTAAAATCCTCTCTACATCAATTCTTGCTAATTCCTTCTGAACACTTTCATGGTGAGGAGCACTTCTCTTCCTGTTAAACTCTGAAGAGCTCAGGCTCTGAAATTCATCAGGCTGTTTCAATTTCCTCTTAGCCACAGTCCAAGACCCAAGCTACCCAACTTCTCTGAACACCTGTTTTTGCACAAATACAATAAGGTTATCAATGGTATGAACTTCATAAGATTATTCTGAATATTATATAAGATAATGTACACATAAAGCTTTTAGAAAAGAACATGATATAGAGCTGTACCATGGACCAATAAATATTAGCCACCGTCATCATTATTCTGCCTCTTCTTATATGGGTCTTCCTTCTTTCTTGGGGAGCTACTTGGAATAAGCCTTGATTGCACCCCAAAAAGCTTTCAAGCATTTGAAGACCGTTCAACCCTTTTGTTTTGAAGCTTCTTTGGGATAAACATTCTCTGTTGCTTAATTGCTTTTTTTTTTAATTTTTAAAAAAAATTTTGGGGACTTCCCTGGTGGTCCAGTGGTAAAGAATCTGCCTTCCAATCCAGGGACATGGTTTCGATCCCTGGTCCAGGAACTAAGATCCCACATGGCGTGGGACAACTAAGCCTGCATGCCACAACTACAGAGCCCGTGCGCCCTGGAGCCCACGCACCACAACTAGATAGAGGAAACCCACACGCCACAACTAGAGAGAAGCCCTTGCTCCACAACGAAGAGGCCGCATGCCTCAACGAAGCTCTTGCCTGCCTCAACCAATAACTGACGCGACCCCAAAAAAAAAAAATTTATTGGAGTATAGTTAATTTACATTGTTGTGTTACCTTCTGCTGAACAGCAAAGTGTATCAGTTATACATATACATATGTTCACTCTTTTTTTAAGATTCTTTTCCCATATAGGTCATTACAAGGCACTGAGTAGAGTTCCCTGTGCTATACAGTAGGTCCTTATTAGTTATCTATTGTATATATAAAATTAATTGCTTTAGAGTGCCTAGCACAGTACCTGGCACATCATATGTGCTCAATAAATATTTGTTAAGTGGATGTTGACTGTCACATGGCCTCCCCATTTATCTTTTATGCTGAATGCTCCTATATTTCGTTAATGTATATTTGAAAGCGTTTGATCCAGAACTAAACTTAGTGGATTTACCCTCCCTTTGTCTTGATGTGTTGCTAGGACTGTAAGATGCAGGCTGTGACAGGAACCTCTTACTCACGTGCATCTTTAGTTTCCTCACTGAGAGCTACAGAAAAAACATCATCAATGAACTCTGAGTCATTGAATACTGCATGGGCAGATAATATCTACTCCAAATGAACTGTCATAATTCTCAGGGATTACCTCACCTACTGAGAGTTGAGACTTGGTGAGTCTATTGAGAACTAATGACTCGCTTTGTTCTGGTCTCACTGGAAAAACACAGGAAGCAAAGGAAAGCATTTTTTCCATTGATTTAAGAGACAGAGAGTATTGTAAAGCTTACGAATGCCTACTAAATTCACAGATGCAACAGTCTAATTATATCACTTATTGTCGAAGGTCATGTAGTTAGTTCTCAATTGTTGATTCAGTCACAGCATTAAAAAATGTATTTTTTAGAAAATAAATATAAAATAATCTCACTAAAAGAAATTTGGTAGCATGATGCAAACTACCTTGCATATACAATTGCCCCCCCATTTATTATTTGTATTCTTTTTGGTATAGGTTTGACTACGTACAACAGAAAATAAGGGCAACTTAAGAGATAGAACTATAGGAGTACAGAGGGAGAAAATCCAGCATGATAGTGGAAGTCCAACAGTATTATCAGAAATTGAGACTCTGACATCTTCAGCATGTAGCTTCAACCTATGTATGACCTCAAGGGACTGCTAATACTCCAGACCTGTGCTGCCCAGTAGGACTCATGCTATGCTGGAGATGTCCTCTGTCTGTGCTATCTAATATGATAGTTAGATAATATAATCTAACTGCTAATGAGCAGTGGAAATGTGCCTAGTGAGACCAAGGAACTGAATTTTAAATTTTATTTAAATAAGTTTAAATTTAAATACTACATATGACTAGTGCATGTCATATTGGACAATACCACTCTAGCATTTCCTCTGTATTCCAAGAGGCAGTAAAAGGATGATGGAGGTGGGGGCAGTGGGCGGGGTAGAATAAACTGATCATTTTCTTTTTTAGGAGATTTTCCAAAAGTGCCACACAGCAATTTTGCTTTCATCTTAGTTTATTGAAATTAATCACATGGCAATCCTTAATTGCAAGGGAGTCTGGAAACTATAATCTTATTTTTATTTTTATTATTTGTTTTTAATTTATTTTATTTTGTCTGTGTTGGGTCTTCGTTGCCATGCGCTGGCTTTCTCTAGTTGAGGTGAGTGGGGCTACTCTTCGTCGTGGTGCACGGGCTTCTCATTGAGGTGGCTTCTCTTGTTGCGGAGCACGGACTCTAGGCACGCGGGCTTCAGTAGTTGTGGCACGCGGGCTCTAGAGCACAGGCTCAGTAGTTGTGGCGCACGGGCTTAGGTGCTCCGCGGCATGTGGGATCTGCCCGGACCAGGGCTTCAACCTGTGTCCCCTGCATTGGCAGGCGGATTCTTAACCACTGTACCACCAGGGAAGTCCCTATAACCTTTTATTCTGTGTAGAATTGTTTTTAACTAAAATCAGGGTTCTGTTCTGTTCTCAAAGAGGAAGAAGAGAATGGATATAAGGATTGGGACTTATTCTCAGGCACTTGGTTACACATATATTCTCGGAAAACATTCTGTTTTGTGAAGCAGCTGTGGTCTAGATCAGTGTTGCCATGAGAACTATCAGTGATGATGGAAATGTTCTAAATCTATGCTAATACATGGTAGTGCCTAGCCATGTGGCTAATTAGCATTTGGAATATGCTTAGCACAATGGAAGAATTGAATTTTTAATTTTATTTGATTTTAACTAACTTAATTGTAAATAGCTACATGTGGCTGGCGGCTACCATATTGGATACGCAGGTCTATAGCACTTCAGTGTTTACTGTTGCAAACTTGTAGCTATTGTTCTGGATCAGAGCAAGATTGCTCCTGTGCCAAGTACCCTGATAGGTCTGTGGTTGACGACTATTACATCTCATCTCTCACTAACCAGCTCTTCTGACTATCTTGAGGTTAGGTTTATTTTTGTACTAAAAAAAAAACAAACCTTTTTCTCTTCTTCTTCTGGGACCCCTATAATTCAAATGTTGGTGCGTTTAATGTTGTCCCAGAGGTCTCTGAGACTGTCCTCAGTTCTTTTCATTTTT